GGAGCGGCAGCAGCAGGAGGAGGAGGAGAAGGAGAAGAAGGAGGAGGAGGAGGAGGAGGAGGCAGCAGCGCCGCTCCGCCTCCGCCGCGCCCCGCTCAGGTATGGGGAGGCTCGGCCCAGCTCCCTTCGGCTTCCACGGCTCGGCTTTTATTATTATCATTTCTTTTACTTAATCAAAAAAAAAAAAAAAGGAAAGGAAAAAAATTGCTCTTTTTAATAAATATTTTTTCTTCCCAGCCGCTTTACCCCGCGGCCCTCGGCATCCCCATCCCGCCCACCTCCGGCGCCCCCCGGGCAGGGTCCCCCCGGCAGCGCAAGTTGGTGCTGCGTTTGGAAGGGTTTTGCCTTTTATCCATCTCCCTTTCTCACAGACCAAGAGTAATTAAGCCCCAAGCAGGTGGCCCTTGGTGGTTTTCGGGTCTTCCATCGCCCACCGGGCTCTAGGGATCCCCCACGCTTTGAGGAGTGAGGGACGGCATCGCTGAGACGTCCTTTGCCAGGACACACCTGTTCCCGGGACAGGAGCATTGCCCTCCTGACCCCACTGGAAATCAGCTCGAGAAGTGCGCCAGGGATAGGCTTTGCTCTGTCTTCTGCCTGCAGGTGCGCTTGGGGTCCCAGCAGCACCACCGCTCCTGGGCGCTGCTTGTGTGCCACTCCTACACCGAGGGCAGGAATTCCAACTTCCACAGCAACAGCCAAAAATTGATCCCAGCCCGTCAATCCTGGCTGTGCTGCTTCCCTCCATCCCACGGGAGCACCCTGTTCTGCAATTCATGCTTAGACGGCACTTTCGGAGCCTGGGAAGCAGAGTGAAATGCAAAGCGCTCCTAATTAACCACTACTGCTATTCTTTATCGTTCGAGGTATTTTGCATATTAACCGAGGAGGCAGAAGCCCGCTCAGCGATCCTGCTCCCTGTCACCGGTGTTTGCTCCGTCACTGGGATCCCTCCCGCCCCGGTTTCGGGCTGTGCCGCTCACAGGCACCCACAGCCTTTCCTCACAGTGATCGCTGGTGGCATCTCGCACTCCGCTCCTTGTCCCCTGCAGGATAAAACTCTTCCCCCCTGCCACATTTTCCCTCTTCCACCCCAGGGCCTGGCAGGGAGCAGTGCTGATGTGGTGGAAGGACAGCCAGCATTGCAGATACCTCTCTTTTCCAGCTCTGATGTCCTTGATGAACCAAAAAAATATTGCAGGTGGCTCTGGGGGGAGTCTGGGGAGGAGGAAGGGAGGGGAGGAAAAAAACTGCACCATGTCTAGAAAATGCCCTGGGAAAATTTGACAGCATAATCCCTGCAAAGCCTCCAAGAGAGCTTAGTCAGGCAAACAAAACTTGCTCCTCTCATTTCATTAAATCAACTGCGGAAACAAAACGTGGAGCACTGGTGGAATTAGAAGCAAAGCTTTCAGTGAAGCTGGGGTAGCAGTGATAGCCCCGAGGCAAAGCACAGGCGTTCCCGTGGAACACCAGCTGGTGTCACATGCGATTCTCCATTAATCTAAAACTTTAATTAAACTCAGAAACTGAAAACCCCAAAATACATACAGAATCCCTGAAGTACATTCTAACTGCTGAGTTGCTGGAAATTGTCTCCTCCAGGAGACAGAAGCTTCTTCCCACTTGGGAATCAAAACTTGTGTTGATCAAGTTTAACAGGCACCAGCTCTTAAATAGCAGTTTATTGTACCTCCTCTTGCATTCACATAGAGGGCATTTTGAGGTGAAAATTAACTAAATACCGGGGGTTTTCCCCTTTAAGCACAGCCAGTGGATTCTTTACATGCACAGGATGGGTTGGAGTTCATTTTAAGGTCCTGCCCTTGTCCCTGTGTCATAGTGACACATGGAGACCCCAGGAGCAGATGGATGGATGGATGGATGGACAGGTGATGGCACAGCCAGCGAGGAGCATCAATTCTGACAGCTCTAAATGTCATCAGAACAGAGCTGGCTGTTGTTAAGTGCAACCCCAGGTCCTGAATTTTTGCATGCAAAGATGTCCCAAAGACCTCAAATCTGGATTTCACTCTTCCTATGCCTCACAGAAGTCACCATGTCACAGTACCGTGGATGTGGCTGCATGGGCTGTTTCGGCAGCCTGGATTAAAGCAATGATAAATTATTCCAGGTGATAAAGAAATGAATAATTAACATTCCAGCAAATAGATTCTGTCCAGAGCCCTGCAGCCCAGCCCCAGGGAGTAGGGACCAAGCCAGCATTGTGCCACAGGGCACGGGGAACCACTCCAGAGCTCATCATCTTGTGTGTGGCCAAAAACACCACCATGGAAAGCCCTGGGGTTGGTATAAAAGCCCTGGTAAGCAGATGCGTGCATGTAGAAAAGTCTTAAAGCCTTGGGAGATGCTGAGGACTCAAACTCTGGAGTGAGCCTGGGATGATGTGATCAGGGACTGGCATTCCCAGCCCTGCCACAGGCAAGTCGCCCACACGCTCCACACCTCTGCTCTTCCTCTGTCACCATGACAAATTTAATTAAAAATACTGGGAAGAATATTTTGCAGAGCCCTGGTACGTGTCTAAGTGAAGAGGCTGTGACTGCCAGGTTTCTAAATGCCACTGGTTCTGTCTCTGTGTGGCTCAGAGCCCTGGTGCAGGGCAAGCTCAAGCCTGGGCCAGGCTGCTTCCCTCACCAGTGGCATCCCTGCACTCCAGGTTTAATTGCTGGTTTGCCTGCAGGATTGCTCACTGGGGCAGGAAATGCCACAGGATTTCAGGAGCAGCAGCTAATGCTCAGGAGGCTTTCCCGGCACCTGCAAGCCACAATTCCAGCTGTGTTTGGCACCTGCAAGCCACAATTCCAGCTGTGTTTGGCTCATTACTGCCTGGTGACCTGTAAGCCAGAGGTGTAACCTGAGCACTGGCCCGAGGCAGGCAAAGGCACCACCAAGCTTTGCAGAACGTTCTGCTTGGTGCCCTATTTACCCAGTTTACTGCAAGGAGATCCAAGAAGCTGGAAGAAGACGGAAATCTGCAGGATTAAGGAAACCCTTCAGTCTTGAGAGAGAAAATCGCTCTAACTGCATCGCTCATCTGTCGGGGGCAGCGAGAAGGAGCCTCTCGAGGAGGCTCTGACCCAGCCAGCCTCACCAGTTGTTCTGGACCAACCTGAATCCTGTAAAGCTCTTGGCAGCAAAGGGCTCAGCCCCAGCAACGCGCTCACCCACCAACAGCTTTGTCTCAGGAGAGTTTAGCTGCCCGTTATCCCATGGGAATTCTCTCCTGTTGAAGGCAAACTTCTTTTAATCTTGTGCAGACCTCATGTTCGTTGCAGAGGAAATTTGCCTCCAGGAGCAGGAGCTCAGACACTCTATAAATGTTTGATAGCTCTGACCACCTCTTCTGAGTTATTATTTTATTAGAAAAGGAGATTTATTATGGTTCTGGATGACTTGAATTCACAAAGCTCACCAATGTGGTATTTTTTTTATCTCTCATATCGGGTGTACCCAACAAATGTCACAGCCTTTAATAACATGCTTTAATTAATCCTGGAATTCTGGATGTGCTATTATCTTCATTTTTCAAAGGGAGGTCACAATAGTAAAGGAAAATCTACATTGCTTGCACGGGCTACTCCAGGAGTCTGTGGCAGACCAGGAAATTAATCTCTTAATCATTCTGCCAATTTGACTCCGTGGTGGGAGCACAGACCTGTGACTACCTCAGCTCTCTGCACTAATGAAACTATTTCCTTTGTCTGGGATGGTCTTTCCCACCTGCAAAACAGGACAGCTCTGATGTCCGCTGTGCAGCTTTGGAGATGGCTGCTGAAAAGGGCTCGATGTCCTGGCTGCCAGCCTACCTCTCCCAGCCTGAAGCTTCACCTTTCTGGAAGCTTCCTTCCTCAGTACCTGTAGGACAATCCCTGTTTGGATCTGGGGAATCCAAGGAACAAGCCTTGAGAGGCACTGCTCTGGTCTGTCTGACTTCCTGCCAGGATGGAAACAGTTCCAGTGTCTCTCTCCCACCTGGTGACTCAGGAAGTTTTGTTTGTAAGTAAGGAAGTTTTGGGAAAAAGGGTGAAAAAGCAGGAGCTGGAGGAAAGATGGCAGAAGCTGAAAGGCTGAAGGAGAGAGAAACAGCTGCAGATAAGCAGCAGCAGCAGCAAAGACTCATATTGAAAAATGAAAAAAGAACATAAAACATTTCCAAATGCCACCAAGTCTGTGAGCAGGAAAGGATGAGAGGTTTTACATGGGTTCTTCGCTCCCCTCCTCTGAATAGGACAGAGGAAAAACTAAAGAAATGCATAGCAAGGAGCAGGTCAGGGGCAGCCCCGTGGGGAGCAGCTGGGTCACCCCTAGCCATGCTCCTCATGTGCCCCACTGCTCCTCCTGCAGCAGGGCCAAGCTGGTGTGGGGACAGAGTGAGGTGTCCCTGCTCCCCACTGCCACCAGCACCTCCCTGGGGACATCCAGCCAGCTTCTGTGCTGCTGTCTTAATTATGGTGTGCTCCTGCCCCCATTCCATGTGTTCAGTGTGGTGATCCAAGGAAGCCCAGAGAGGCAGAGGTGTCATTGTAGAGAAATTTACAGAGAATAAACCTCTTTACAAGACACCTCTAACTTCAGCCCTGCAGACTTAGTTCTGCCCAAGCAGACTTGAGATCCAGTATTCCACAGATCACTCAACAGACACCAGAATCTTGCAAAAGAATATCGGCTTTTTAATGTTCACCCTACAGTAAAATACATTCAGAGTTTTATACTTGGTATCTAAATACAAACAAAATATTTTTGCAAATGTTTTCAGTTTAAAAGGCATTTTAATAAAGGTTTACTGAAAGTTTTCTACATTTTTTCTTTTTGCAGATTAAAAAGAATACCTGTGCTTTGTTCATGTCACAATAATACACCATTATGTTGTAGAGGGCAGACAGTATTCTTGAATTAAAATGTCAAGCACTTTGGATTGGATCAGATTTGTAAAAAAAAAACCATGGGGGAAAAATAAACTTTAAAATACTATGTTTCTTGTAATTTCCAATTAAATGTTTTGAGTATCACAGTGGAGAGGGTTCTTCCAACTCAAGTCAGGCATAAGCATCCTAAGAAAATGTTTTAAAAGGCAACTGAGTGAGCTAAAATACCAAAGTAAGAGATGCCCTTAAGAGGCAGGCCTTAGTGCCTTTTCTGCAGTGGGGGGCTTTACTTCAAACTTGTAGGTCATTGACTGAATGAACTGTATCTGTTCTTGGTACTGTCTCTCTGCTTCCATATTTGATTCCTCTTCTTTCTTCCTCTTCTCTTCTTCAGCTTTTTGGAGCAACTGTTGATAGGCAATTTGAGTTGTGAGCTGGTCCCTGTACTCTTTGGCCTTCTGTGCTTTTCTGGAAATGCCAAATGAATAGGTTATTTAAGCAGTGTGGGCAAAAAGGATAAACATTATTATTATTATGTAATCTGCTAGCATTCGAGCTTAGACCAAAGAACCATTCAAAGCTCCTTTTAGCAGTAAATAACTGCCACTATTAACCATACACTGCGTGCTAACCTTATGTTCTGCAGAGAGTTAACTGCACTCTGTTGTGTCCTAAAAAGCAGACTGTAAAACTGGTGTTTTATCAGAAAGAGGGAAAGAACAACTCCGTGTAATCAGCATGCCCTCCCAGCCGTGGTGAGAGGATAGAGGATGGGGGTGCTGGGTCTCAGTCCATCCCTGGCTCGGGCTCATGCTGCTGCTGACACCCATCCTCACCCTCCTGCTGAGAACAACTCCCTGCTGCACTGATATTGCTGCAAGTGGCTGTCAGGAGAAATCAATCTTCCACTGCACCTCAGGACTCGTGTGCTGCTTTCAGTCCCCTCTGGAGAAGCAGAGGAAGCCTTACGTGCTCAGGCCCTTCTGGAGCAGGAGTCAGACACTTGAATGCCAGCAGAGTAGTCAGCACTTGTGCACTAACTCAACAGAGCTGAGCCACAAACCCTTCCTGACACTGCTGAGTGCCATCTCTGCTAAGTGGAGCATATCCCAGCTGGAGCCCAGCGTGTTTCCTTCACAAGGGTGACACTTCTGCCACAGCCAGGAGGTTGTTCCCAATACAGCCCTCAGAGAACACAACAGACACCGGCTCGGGAAGGAGCTACTTGTGTCCCACGGACAGGAGAGGAGAAAGGGCAGGAGTACAAAAGGGAAGTGAGTGAGATAAGGTCCTTTGCCCAAGACTTTGCATGACACCCAGAGGAACATTCCAGCTACTGCGTGTAAGGCTCTGCTCATCCAGAGGCACTAGGGAGAGCCCTGTGCAGCCGGGGTTACGTGCTGCAGCCGGGTGTTTTGGTGGCTGACACAGGATCGTTCAAGGGATGTCTGTGGGTGGGGTTTAGCAATAAGCCCGGACACACTTGCTCTCCTGGGGCAGGAACAAACAAACCTTCCATTAGCCCTCCTCCCCAGTCACTTGTAACAACAGCTCACAGTATGAGGGGATGTGCTTAGGAAATACGATTGATGTAAGTCACATGATGATTAAAAACACCAACACAGGGATATGTACCACTATCTTCTGAGGTCAGAATTAATGACTTAATACCAGCTGCAGCATCACAAGTCTGCTCTTGGGCAGTTTGGAACTGATAAGGTACATGGTGAAAAATCTCCTCTAAATAGAAAGAAGTCCACCCAGTGCTCTAGAGTTATCAGAAAACAATAATCAGCTCTCTCACAAGTTTAAAAGATTGGTCTGCAAAGAAATGACCTGATGACATAGAAGAAAAATACCTTTTACGTTCTTCCTCTTCCTCATATTCAAATTTTCTGACTGCTTCAGCCATTGCCTTCTTCTCTGCAGCAATCTCTATTTTCCTCTCTTCTTTTTTCTGCACTGGAAAACAAAACCAGAAATCCTTTTAGAAAGTAACAGCTCTGTTGAGCTTGAAGGGCCAGTGAGACTGCATTTGGGCTAAGTAGCCTAAATAATAGGTTTGAGTTTTGTTGTTTCTGAAGTGCCACACAAACAACAGCAAGGGTATTCCCAGCTTATTTATTTTTCATCCACTCAGACCTGGATAGATTTCACATTCAGGGCTGCACACAATAGCAATGACCGTTTGCCCATGCAATCCTCACTTTACTAGGCTTTGCTGTGGTGATGGCAATGGGGAATCAGTGCAAGGAATGCTGTAGGAGTGCATTTTGGGAACAGGCTCAGGGAGGGTCGCATTGCTGTCCACTCTGTCACACAGTGTGTGCTGGGGCAGTGCTGTTCCCAGCAGCAGGGTGTTGAGCTGCCTCTGCCCAGACGTGTGTTCAACCACTTACACTTCTCCTCCATCTGCGTCTGCCTTGCAATCAGGACATCTCTCAGCGTGCTAGACCGAGCTTCCCTCTCTCGTTTCTGTTTCTCAACCCTCTCGGCCCACATCTTATCCCTCTCTTCCTTGAAGATCTGCTCATCCTCTCTTTCTTGCTCCTTCTCCTTCCTCAGCTGTTCAGCCAGATGATCCAGGTAAGAAAGTTGCTCCTTCAACAGCGTTCGCTGCAAACACACAGACGTTTGCAGATATGAGTACATTAGTTCAAAAAAGCCTTTCAAACCCTGAAGAAAAGTGGTGGTTCACAGACAGTGTGGGAGCTGGGAGCCCAGAGACCGTTCCAAAACCTGCCACAGCAAAGACTGCTCAGAATCCTCTACCGGGCAAATGCAGAGTGATCCCTTTACCCACAGCAGCTCAGCTGCCTACAACACACCCATTTTACAGACTTTCCACACCTGACCAGGCTACTCCAGTATCACCTGCATTAAATATAATAATGTAATATAATATATATCACTTCCTGTAATTTTGCAGCAAGGTCTAACACTGAGTTGAGACAAGTTTCCTAACCTACAAGAGCTTCTAACCACTCTCTCGTGTGTCCTAAATATCCTGAGAGTCATTTGCATTCTGAAGTTGGACAATCTACTTGTTTTAACTTCAGGAAATCACAGACACATCCACTGATTCACTGCATCTCCAAGAAATAAAACATGAGAGTTTGCATCTATCTATATATTGTTTTTAAATAATTTAAGTTTTTTAGTATTCATTAATTACATTAAATATTTCCTTTCTTCTGCAGTTACAAATACTACATCAGGTCCATGAAACAAAAAATAGTTTTCCAGCCTCTATTATGTCCGTGCAGTGTAAGGATGATAAAGCTCAGGTGATTTATACACAATGAAATCAGCATGGAGGGACAGAATTCCAGGACTTCCTGAGAGCCCTCACTTCATTTATCCAGCCTGGTAGCCTTGCTGGTTGCAAAGCAGGCTTTAAAGTGCTGTGGTTTTAACAGCTAATGGGCTTCTGCAGAGCTGCAGGGTGCTGGCAGGAGGAGAGGCAGCAGGCTGCTCAAGAAAAGAATTATCTCATTCAGGGAGAAGGGCTTGTGTCTGTTCTCTGTTACCCTGTGCAGCTCACAGGGCCACAGAACCCCACAAGCTCACCATGAAACACCTTACTTTTTTATTTCTTATCTTCTCATATTCCTTGTCGGTGTCCTCCAAATCATTTTCCAAGGCCGCCTTCTCTTCAGCAAGTTGAATTTGTTTTTCTGCATCAAGATGCTTCTGCCTGTCCTGCACTGCTTTGAGCAACGTCTCCCTGCATTTCTTCTGCTGATACAGCTTCTTCCTCTCAAGGTCTTCATTTTCTTTCCTGAACTGGTGCAGCTCTTTTTCCTACATGGATAAAAGCAGCCAGCTTGTAAAATCGCTGTGTAACTTCAAATTAAGCGCTGTCTATAGTTAGTTTATTGCAATAGTGAAGAGAAAGCCTTGCTGGCAACACAGAATTAGTGTCATCCACTAGACCTGGTAAAGCCTGAACATTTTGGCATATCTTTCACTAGAATTCAGGATTTTTATCGGTAACCATCACATGCAATTCAATATAAAAACGGGATTGTGCCTGGTATTTTACAAATGTTTCAGACAGATAGACAGAGTAATCTCTTTAGGGAAATCAGTATCATTGCAGCATTTTTGATCTATATCCAGGTGTTCATACACAGCCATAAGCACTGACAAATAACAGGGCCATGTGTTCCTGCTTTTTCTGTAGATATTATGTGTCGTCTGCCTGTGTTGGGTGTTCAGAGCACAGCATCTCTACCAGTCATAAGGCTGCTACAAGTCAGTGATTGTATCTTTGTGTTCTGATGGGCACTTACTGAATTTTCATCGTTTCAAATCATCCCACTTCGTATTGGAAAGAACTTTATATTCCACCTTATATTGAAAATACATGCAGTGAAACTAAGTTCTTAAAAAAGAAACAATGACAGATCGGAAATGCATATTTGAGATCAAATAAGTATTTGTGTATTCAAGATTATTTAGCCACAAAAAAATTTCAAAAGTAGCATCATTAAGTAATTCATAAGCATAATTTCTGGACAACTGAATAAGTGTATAAGCACAACTGCACTGAAATATAGTCATAACACAGTGCGTGACCATCATTAGCATTGTATTATCTCAGAAATCATGCTTCAGCTGTCTCTAAGGCACACACTTTTTTGTTAACCTGTTTTTAAATTAAATGTCTCTTTTGTAATGTGAATGAGTCTTTAAAAATGCCTTAGCAGATTTGTCATAAACAGCATGTCTAATCTTTCCATAGGGAAGCAGAAGCTGCACTCCCTAACAAATATCCCTTTTTATTCTGGACATAAAGCACCCACGGGTTCTTGCAGTATTTCAGAGCCAAAGCTGACTTTATAACTGCCTGAACTGTCAAATTCACTTTCAGAAGCTGGTGAAACAGCTTTGAAACTCAATATATATATAATTTGAGGAATAGCATTACAAATCCAAACATCTTTGAACAGCAAAGGTGGAAAGAAAGCAGAAATAGTTAGCAGTCAGCTGTGCAAGTTGGCACCTGTCTCTGGATGAATTCTGACATCAGTGAAGCTGTGTGAGAGCAGCCAAGGATGGGATCCATGAAAGATTGTTCACTGGGGTAACACAATGCCACAGATGTGCAAAGAAGTGTTTACCAACCACCCTTCTGCAAGCCAGGATCAAAGTGCTATGGCAGAAACTCTTGATACTACAGTCGGGATAACATGAAGTCAATCACTTTCCAAGAAATCACAATTCTTTAAGGCACAAATAGGACAAAGAAGGAAGGCAGCTAATGTAGGTAATGTAGCTAAAGCAAAAATTGCTGTCCCTGCTTTGTCATCCACTTCTGAGATATCCTGGTGCACACATGTGGTCTACCCTGCCAAAGGTACAAGTTTTCCTTCACTAAATATTCTATTTTTATAGCAACGGCTAGGAGAAACCTTTATGCACACTTAGCTGCCCATTCACCCAGATGATACTCCTGGTCATTAGGGGCTACCAGCCTGCAATGAAAAACTTGTAATGAGACCATCTGCCACATCCCTCTTCTGCTCAGAATGGATCAGATTGCATTTTCCATACAGAAACTCTCCTTCAAAGAAAGCTCTTTTTTTTCAGAGACTCAACCACTTCACTAGAAATGTATCTCCTTGACAGAGCCCCAGGCTGCTGTCTCCAGGGGAAGATGCAGAGCCTTCTATTCTAATAGTGCTTTTCTGAAAAGGCCAGTTAAGGAACAGCATTCTTTGCCTGGGAGGTTTGGCAGTGCCTTAGAAGTTGTTACAAGAAAATAATTCTGTTCTACATGTTTTTAAATAAGCAAAAAATTGGTCTAGCTTGGAATATTTTCACAGCCAGCATTTTCAGAGCTTTAGATTCATTATTGTCTCATTTTTATAAAATGGGGAAGCATATATGATGCCAGCACCAGCTTCCAGTGTCTAACAGAGTATCCTGAGTGATCATTCAGCCTCTACATGTAAACAGCTGCAAAATGAAGATTGAGTCTGAGCTAAATAGCCTCCCATAAGTCAAAGTCAACATAGAATACTGAACTAGCAAGCCACACTAAAGCCAGCAAAACTACAGCAGGAGAGATGGATAAGAATGATGAAAATAGAAGGTAGTGGCTGAGCAGTTGGGCCAAGGTAGCCAAATGCCTCCTGTGATGTGAGCTCAACAGCAGGCAGCTCTAACAGGCAAGAGAGCTTAAGTGCTGCTTGCTAATTTGCTTTAAAAATATATATAAAATAAATATTTCAGCTGGGAAACAAGATTGCCCTGCTATCCTCCAGGAAACTGGAAATCAAAAAGCAACAAAGGTATTTGGCAAAAGCTTTAAAATGTTTCCATTTCCCACAATGCCTTTGAGAGGCTGAGTGCCAAAACCCTTTAGAATGCCGAGTTTCAAAAGAAGTATTTCCCTCTGTAAACCAGAATGCCTTTGCCACAGCTCTGAAAAGAGGCTTAGCTCAACAGCACAGGCTCAGATACTAATGGTATCAGTAAAGATACAAATAAGGTATGGATTAGTTTAAATGTTAGTAAGCCTATCATTAGAAGGGCCTTCTGCCCAAGCCTGAGTGCAGAGCACTGTGGAAATTACCATCCTTTCAGCCTCCTGTCTGATCTCCTGCTTCTTCTCCTCCCTGCGAGCGGCATGCACGGCCACCTGGGCATCAAGCACATCCACCATCTCCCGGATCCGCGCTGCCGCCTCCTGCGCCTTCAGCTCCGCTTCCTGGTCCTTAGCCAGCTGTTCCTTCTCACAAATCTCTTCCAACTCCCGCTCCTGCATCTTCTCTTCCTCTTTCAGCATCTCCTTCAGAGCCTGCTGGGCCAGCTGGCAGTCAACCAGCTCCTTCTCACTCAGTTTTTTACAGTGTTCGCGATACTCGTGACATCGGTTTCTGGAAGGCAACGTAAAAGTTTTTTTAAAAAAGTCTCAAAACAATAAGCAGGTCTGGAGGTGTGCGGTGAATGAAGGCTCTCAGCTCATCACTGCTCAAAACACAGCAACCCCAGACACCAATTATACCCCTGGTCTGACATTGATTCCTTGTGGAACTTAAGGCACCACAGAGAGCCTGATTTGATGGAGGTTTTGACATGAATGAGCTGAAGGATTTGAATTTGTAAAAAAGGCCTGAATCAACCTCCTCACAAGGGGAAAGGAAGAGGCAGCAGTGATCTCTGCTCCCTGTGACAGGGACAGGATCCAGAGAGAATGGCTGGAGCTGTGCCAGGGGGGTTTGGGTGGGATCTCAGGGAAAGGCTCTTCCCCAGAGGGTGCTGGCACTGCCCAGGCTCCCCAGGGATGGGCACAGCCCCGAGGCTGCCAGAGCTCCAGCAGCCTTTGGACAGCGCTGCCAGGGATGCCCAGGGTGGGGCTGCTGGGGGTCTGTGCAGGGCAGGGGCTGGAATGGGTGATCCTGGTGGGTCCCTTCCAAGGTGATCCTTGGGGATCCCTTCCAACTTGGGATATTCTGTGAGTGTAAATGAACACACAATGCATCCACACATTGCATACACAAGGTGTACTCTACATATAGCTGGGACGTAGGGGGTTGTGTGCATATATACCTTTTATTAACACATAAAACATATGCATGCTACACTTATTCAAACATGTAGGTTGGTCTCTATTCAAATGAAGACAGAATAGGTTGGTAAGTCACCTGAAAGCTCATTCATATTCAGAAAATACTGTGACCGTGGAAATGTGGGTTACACGGTTGAGCAAGAACCACTAGAAATTTATTAATTTTTAAAGTGAAGTTCTATGGGATAATTCAGACAAGTCACAATAAAAGCCTGGAGAAGGTAGAAAGTCAAACAAGTAATGCAGCTTTCAATTTTCATTTACTGTCTGCAACTGAGTTGCATATAAAGAGGTAATTTATCTTCAGTTGAAGAACACTAATTACAGATTCTGCTTTTACTTTTGCAAACAAAGCACTGTTGAGATCAACACATGCCATCAAACATTATTTAATTTGAACAATCTGCAGGCACTTTAATTCTGTTCTATAAACAGGATATAGATTTTCATTAAGTCAGAATGTGAAACTGGCAGACAAAGGTGAAGACCAGCAAGTGTGAAGGATGTGTAAGTCTGAGGATGTGTGACAGACACATGTGAATGCTGTGAAGTGAAAAGATAGCTCACAATTTCATGCTGAATGAAACTATCTATGCAGATTATTGCAAAGGTGTTTAGGAATTCACGGAAGATATCACAGCCTGAATCATGAACAACTTGACAGCAGCAGTAGTTACCTGCACAATGCGAAATACCATGACACTACACAAGCTGTAGCTGACTATCCTGTGTAAAAAAATATTAAATATTCATCAGACAATTACCTCAATGCTATTACCAATCTCCATATCAGGGTAGTTATTTAATTTTCAGAGCAAAGGTCTCACCACATTTTCTCCCTGCTGCCATTCAACAGTCGCTGCCTCACATTTCCCTGGGGACAAGGAAATCTCTCTGTTCATCCTCTTGGCTAAAGCACCCAGTGCCATGGAGCCTGTGCTGAAAGGTGAAGGGCACTGACACAAACAGCAAAAGGGGCAGCACTGCTGTGAAAACATTTCCATTCTGCTTGCTCTTTGTTGAACCTGCCCCAGCCTGAACCCCCTGTCCTGGGCTGATCCCCAGCGTGGGCAGCAGGGCAGGGGGATCCTGCCCCTGTGCCCCTGGGCTCAGGTGAGAGCCCACCTGCAGAGCTGCCCCAGCCCTGGCTCCAGCAGCACAAGGAGCTGGAGCTGCTGCAGCCAGTGCAGAGGAGGCCACGGAGCTGCTGCCAGGGCTGGAGCCCCTCTGCTCTGGAGCCAGCCTGGCACAGCTGGGGCTGCTCAGCTGCACCAGAGAAGCTCCAGGGACACCTCAGAGCCCCTGCCAGGGCCTGCAGGGGCTCCAGGAGAGCTGCACAGCCCCTGGGGACAAGGCAGGCAGGGACAGCAGCCAGGCAATGGCTCCCACTGCCAGAGGGCAGGCACAGATTTTGGCACATTGGGAATTAGGAATTGCTGGCTGGGAGGGTGGGTAGGCCCTGGCAGTGTCCCAGGCCAGGCTGGATGGGGCTTGGAGCAGCCTGGGACAGTGGAAGGTGTCCCTGCCCATAATAAAGACGACTTTGAAGGCCCCTTCCAATCCAAAGCATTCCATGATGAGATGCTGTAGTTCAGTGCCAGTGGAGGCTGGTGAAAAGGGATGGTTGTTTTACCTCTTGGACGAGACAGGAACCCCCTGACCACTGTTTAACCCAGCAATAATAGCAGAAAGCAGCACAGGGATGAGCCATGGCGCATTCCAAGGAGCACCCCTGCTCCCAGCAGGTCATCAAATGTACTACCTCATTGATGGTTTTCTTACATTTCACCACTGGAATCTATCTTTCATCTCCTGGGCGGGAGTTAGTGGTGATGAAAGACCACAGCACTAATTAGTCTTCATGAAAAACATATTTCTCAAATGTTGTGAGGGAAACATGCTATTATTAAGACTCTAAATCTTGCTATAATTAAGATTCTACATCTTACAATTATCAATCACTATATTACCTTAACACAATGGGTTCAAGGTTCTGTCAGCATTGAAGGAATAAAGAACTAGTTATTCTTTTCTGTGATTATAAACCAATCTGATATTTATTGAATTCCCACGGGGGAGTAGAAGTTAATTATGTTCAGCATTGTTAGAATTTTAATATAAAATAACCCTGTAATTGCTTGATTTTATCAAAATAATTCCCTCAAAGCAGCTTTTACACCAACCCATAAACATCTGCTCCCCCAGATGGCAGGTTTTCTTCCTCACTTTGCTATCCTAAGCTTCTTAACATTAAAACTGTGCCTGGATGTGGCTACTTCCCAAAGACGGAACCTCCCCAGTTATTCATTCATTTTATGGCTGCAGCACAATATTGCTGGGATAACATCATACCCCATATGGATGCTTCTGATGTTACCACAAGAAAGAGGATGTGATCTGTGTTTTATGCAAATTTTAAGACATTGCAGTTTTCTTTTAAGTTACCAATGATGAACATGCCCTCAGGCTAGCACTGGCTGAGTCTTTTCTCAGACAAGGTGTAGCCCTCCATGAAAATGAATTCCAGCAGGATTCCCATGGTCCAAGCCTTGTCCCCTCTGTCACCTTGTGACAAAGGACTCCTCCTGGTTGACATTGCTACTGAGAAGCTGTTACACCTGTACCCTCAGGCCATGGCAACCAGCCATAAAAAATAAAAAATGCTCTGGAATAATGTCTGACAGGGTAGGTGCTCCTATACCTCAAGGTTTGAGAATCCATGCCTGGAGCACCTTGCTTGGAGTTAAAGGAAATACAAATTAGTCTGTATCAGGTTTCAGAAAGATATTCAAAAGAGTTGAAAATCCACAGGCAAAGAAAGAGAATCAGAAAATCATGTGTGTATCCACCTGCTACTTTCCAGGGCTCCTGGGTGTGCCCTGGAGTAATCATCTCCAAAGGGGGGCAGGTGTGCAGGAAGAGAATATGTTTTATACCATTGATAAATAACATTAAAAAGTAAAAAATGGCATTTATTTAATCTTTACCTCATCCTTTTTAATTTCTATTTGTGCATATGTTTTATAATGTACAGGATATATCAGTACAGTATATTATTACATATTTATATAGTTGATAAATAAACATATTGAGGTGAATGTTAAAAGTTTTTACATCCAGGGGGGTGCAGTCAGAAGGTCGGAGGCCATTGCTCCAGAGGACAGGGTATGACACAATTACAGACTCCTGCTTGTGGATTTTCAGTAAGTGTTGGTCTCCTGAGCAGCAAATCCTGCTCCCTGATCTCTGCCTAGACCAGAATGGTTTAGGAGGAAGAGTAACATCTAACAGCTAAAAAAAAGCATACCTGGGACTCCTTAAACAAGACAAATAGATGCAGATACACCAAGACTGCCACCCACAACAGCTGTGAGGAGAGATGGTTTCTCTGCCTCTAAATCCTCTGAAACGTGCAGCCAGCAGAACACCAACAGTAAAGCTTCAACAACACTTTTTAACAGGATTCTGTGTGGTGTGAATATGGCTTAGATCCCAGAGCAGAGTGGGAAAGGTAAAAGGACAATAATCGGATGAAATATTCCCATGAGACTGAGTGAGCCATAGATCAACAGGGCTACACTAGGAAGACAAAGGACCTGAGACATTAGGACAGGCAACTACAGCATGGAAGTTCAAGTATATGTCACCAGATGATGCAGTTCAGTGGCGTGATTCATTTTGCAATTAAAATATCTAAAATTAGACATCTGAACAGGAATCTGCATATGTGCTAAATTCCCACTCTGATCAATGAGAACCTAATTAAAGTCAGTAGAGGCTGGGGTGCAGCTCAGCTGACAGGGCAGGATAAGCCTGTTTGGGACTGACTTTAGGTTCCTGTAACTGTCCTGATTTTGATGAAGTTTGAATAGAACCGGAATGCAGATTCCCAGTGAATATGAAGTTACCATTACTTAGACTTACCTACGTGTAAAACAAGGTACAGGTACAAAATAAAATGCACTCCAGCAGCATCCCCTCCAAATTATTTTAAAAGTGAGTTTCAACCACTTTGTGTGATACATAGAGAACAAACCAGAAGCTCTAAAAAGCAAGGGCCACATTTTCAAACCACCAGGTGAAGTTAGGCAGTGTATGCACTTCTAACACCTGTCCAAGTCAATAAACCCCACATTTTAACAAATATTTACCTGTGGAATTAGTTAATTAGTGGTTATGCACAAGTAAGAGCCAATGTTGATTTTTATCCCCAGCCTGGGCACACTGAGAAGCAGGTGTTGTAGATTTCACAGTACCGTGGGAGACTGGGAAAGACACTTCAAATAATCACAATTAAATAACATTATTATTTTTTCTTTCATCCCTCCCTCGGAAAACCAGATTTACAAGAATGGGACAAGGCAGACTTCATGCCAAGGCCTCAGGTCCTAGTAAGTTCCTGCAAGTTACTGCTTTCAGTCAAGAAGACTTGGCACTGAACTTCAGGCTGCATTAAACCCTTAGCTGCAGCTGCTACTCTTGAAAAGTATGCAATAAATAAAAAACACTGTCTGTTTGGACAATCTTACGTTTCAGGAATCTTTATTGGCATATTATCTTAGTAAGCTTGATTTAGGCCAAATTAACCTTCCCTGTAGCCTGTTCACTCCAACAGTACAAAGCTGGAACAGGAATTACAAAAAGGGTTGACTTGGCAGGTGGAAATGCAGGGATGCTCATGCGCAACAAGGAGGACACACTACACTTGCAAGAATTAACTACTCTGACTTTTTCTGTCTTACTGTTTCAACCACTTTCATCTTACCTTCCTCAGTTTATTATTGCCACCTTCTTTTTAAAATGTCTCTATATTTACTTTGGGCAAATTCTCTTTTATAAGATATTTCTATGGCAATACCTGAACTGTTGCTCTCGTTTTTCAGCCACGACTCGCAGTCTTTCTTGCTCCCTCTTCTCCTTCAGTAATTTTGCTTGTTCCTTCAAGTTTGCTTCTTTCTGCTGTGCCTTTTCCTCATCAAGTGCATTCACCTCAGCAAGGTGCCTGCTCTCCTCTGCCTCCAGAAAGTCACGGAGCCTGTAATGAAAACATTTGAATAAAGGCTAAATCAGTCCTTCAGTCGAAGGACAAAGTTTTCGTCTATTTGCTATTAACAGAAAGTGGGTACTGGGCTCCTTTTAACACCTCTTACAAATGTCAGAGAAGTGAACATCAAATTTTAACTCAGGGATCATTCGTGTTGTGTCCATCAAGGGAATCTTACAGCACAACATGAGTGATCCTGTCCAGGCACACTCTAAACTCCTGATTTTACAAACTCACTTTCAAAGCTGCTTTATGACTTCAGTTCCCCATTCATCAAATTATTCTATTTCTCGGACTACATTTGTCACCAGCTGATAACAATTAGATTTTGCGCTATGGTTATCTTTCAGCACAGACCCACAGAACACCCTGAGCTGTGGGTCCCCCAAGGATCACCCAGTCCAGCTCCTGGCCCTACAGACACCCCAACAATCCCACCCTGGGCATCCCTGGCAGTGCTGTTCAAATGCTCCTGGAGCTCTGGCAGCCTCGGGGAGCCTGGTCAGTTCCCCACAACTCTCTGGGGGAAAAACCTTTCCCTGATGCCCTCCCTCCTCTATGCATCTATAATTGCATTTTCTCTCAAATGACCTCTTGATATTTTTGCATCACTCTGCAGAACACTTCATCCTGAAATATCTTTGATGAGAAAATTATGTCAAATAGGCAGTTTTTAAACACATCACAATTTACTTCTCTGTTAATCCCAGCAGTGAGAAATCTGGGGCTGCAGAATCCAGAAATCACTGATTTCAGCCAATACACCACAGGGTCTCAGCAGAAAGGGCCCTGGGGTCCCGGCAGACAAGCTGAGCACAGGCCAATGATGCACCCTTGTGGCAAAGAAAGCCTCTGGCAGCTCGGGCTGCGGGAGGAGCAGCACTGCGAGCAGGCCCACGGAGGGCATCCTTCCTCCCGGCACTGCTGAGACCCCAGTGGAGCGCTGGCTCCAGCTCCGGGCTCTGCAGCACCGCAAGGACACGGCCTCAGCAAAGGGTGACAGTGGAGGGACACTGAGGGACTGCAGCACCTCTCCCAACAGGAGCACCTCTCCTAAAGTTCCTTCTCTCCTGAGACAGCAGGGATTGTCCAGCCTGGAGAAGAGAAGGCAGAGAGGGATCTTAGCAATGCACCTAAACTCCTGAAGGGAGGGAATGCAGGAAAGACAGACATCTACTCCTCAGTAGTGCTCAGTGGTGGGACAAGGGGCCACAAATTAAACCACATGAAATTCCAAATGAACAGAAGAAAACATGCATTTTTCTTTTTACTGTGAGTGGGGTGAGATATTGGACACGATGCTCACAGAGGTGATTCAGTCTCCATGTGTGGAGACAAGCAAAACCCAAATGGACACACACTCCTGGACACCCTGCTCCAGTGACTCCAGGGTTGGACCAGATCATCTCAGGAGGTTCCTTCTAACCCCAGTGCTTCTGTGGAACCATGTGCAATTCCTCTGAAGGCACATTAGACCAGGACAGTTTCTAAGCAAACAGTTTCTAACCAAACTGATGACCTTCACAGCTACAAAGTCACTTGACATGAAACAGTAACTGAGAAATTAAATCACAATATTTTTTCCAAAGATCAGTACAGCATAATTATGTTCTTTACATGGCAGCAATGTGCTTCACCTTTAATATTTTTGAAGACTTCTGGAAAATTTTAATTTTTTCAGCTGACTGTGCCGCAAAGTGTTATTTGTAGGAGCTAAGCATCAGCTTGATGAGTTTGCAACAAAACCCTCAGTGACACTGAACTGAGAGAATTTCTGACACTTTGCTACCCAGAGAAACTGTGAATGTCCACGACAGGGTGGATGGAACTAGATAAGCCCATCCACCCTAGAATTCTATGATTCTGTGCCCCACCTTTGGAAATGACCCAGTTTGGACAAGGCTTGGGGCAACCTGGTCTGGCGGGAGGTGTCCCTGCCGGGGTGCTTGGAGCAAGATGAGCTTTAAGGTCCCTTCCAACCCAAACCATTCCATCATTTCATGACTGTATCAAGGTACTCTTCAACTTCTTTAAAAATCAAGCAATGAAAGTGCTATGCCACTACTTCTGTGCTTGTCTGTGGCAGACAGGAGGCTCCAAATGCCACCTCGGCTACACAGTTACTGTATGTGAACACATGTCACGGGTGCCGGGCTCTCTGAGCCCACACCGAAAACAGCAGGGGCGCTGCACTGGCTACTTGTTTGCTACCTCTCTCTCCTCACTTCGATCTCCTTCAGGTACTGCTGCAGCGTGGCCCGGACCTTCCTCTCGGCAGCGCGCTGCATCCATTTCTCCTCGCCGCCCTTGTGCCAGTCGGAGACATTGCGGTAGTGGCGGAGCATCCGCAGGTCACGTTCATACTCACGCTGCTCCTCCTCCAGCGCCCTCTCGGCCAAAATCGTCTCTTCGAACAGGTCTCTCTTAGTGGGCTTGGCTAGCTGCGAGAGAAAGGAAATGGAGAAAGCGTGGAGACCTCGTAGCACCCTTCCAAGGATGTGAAGGGGCCTACAGTGAATCCAGAGAGGGACTTCATCAGGAATTGTAGTGACAGGACAAGGGAAATGGGAACAGAGTGAAAGAGGGAAAATTTAGGCTAAATGTAGGAAAAAATTCTTCTTTGTGACAGTGGTGAGGCACCCACACAGGTTTCCCAGAGAAGCTGTGGCTGTTCCTGGATCCCTGGAAGTGTCCAAGGCCAGGCTGGATGGGGCTTGGAGCAACCTGGGGTAGTGGAAATTGTCCCGGCCCATGGCAGGGGTGGCACTGGATGAGCTTTAAGGTGCCTTCCAACACAAAACATTCATGGGTGAAAAGTTTGAGTGTTTTTCAGTTGAATTCATGACTGTGCAAGTACCTAATACCAAAGGATGAGTTCACGGTAATTATGGGGTCATCTCAGAATCACTGAGGCTGGAAAAGAACCCCAGGATCATCAAGTCCCCGCCTTGTCACCCAGCCCAGGGCACTGAGTGCCATGTCCCATCCTTCCTTGGACACCTCCAAGGATAGGGACTCCAACACCTCCCTGGGCAGACCCTTCCAAGGCCTGAACGTCTTTTCTGTGAAGAAATTCCTCTTAAATTAGACAAGCCCTGCCTACACCCCCATAGCATCAGGCTCCCCAGGACCCCCTAACACAGCACCAGGCTCCTCAGAACCCCCAAAAAGATCACCAGGCTCCCCAGGACTCCTCACACAGCACCAGGCTCCCTGGGGGCTCTCACACAGCACTGGGCTGTCCAGGACCCCTCACACAAAGCTCCCCGGGACCCCCAAACACAACACCGGGCTCCCCAGGACCCCTCACACAGCACCAGGCTCCCCAGAACCCCCAAACACAACACCAGGCTCCTCAGGACCTTCAAACACAGCACCGGGCTCCCTGGGACCCCTCACACAGAACCGGGCTCCCTGGGACCCCTCACACAGCACCGGGCTCCCTGGGAGCTCTCACACAGCACCATGTTCCCCAGGACCTTCAAACACACCACCGGGCTCCCTGGGACCCCTTACACAGAACCGGGCTCCTCAGGACCCCTCACACAGCACCGGGCTCCCCTGGAGCCCTCACACAGCACCGGGCTCTCCGGGATCTCTCACACAGCACCCGGGCTCCCCAGGACCTTCAAACACAGCACCGGGCTCCCCGGGACCTTCAAACACAGCACCGGGCTCCCCGGGAGCTCTCACACAACACCGGGCTCCCCAGGACATTCAAACACAGCACCGGGCTCTCCGGGACCCCTCCCAGCTGCTCCCAGAGGGTCCCGCTTCAGCCGGCCCCGCTCTGGGGCTCGACCCCCACGTCCCCGCAGCTCCCTGGAGCACAGCAGCCCCGGTGTGGCCCCTCACCACCGCCACTTCGCCCGGCAGCGGCCCGCAGCCGGTGAACTCCCGGCGCCTCTGCGTGTGAGAGCAGTGAGGGGGCTGGGGACGGGGCGGGGGCCGCGCCGCCATGGCGGATGGAAGCGCCGCCGTTGCTGAGGGGACGCGCGCGGGACGGAAGTGGCATCATGGCGGCGGGGGCGCTGAGGGGTGTCCAGCATGGATGGGGTGCTGAAGGTGTCCCGGTGTTAAAAAAGGGACCACACTCCCGGTACTAAAGTGATTTTAGCATTTATTATAATAAAAAGGCCTAAAGCATGGGAGCCCACGGGTCAAGCAGGAGCGTTCCCGTCGAGGATGCTGCAGCGCCGGCGCTCCGTCTTCTTGAGCAGCTATGTACCCGATGTTCCAGGTGGAGCGGCACACACTCACCGGATCACTTTTTTTGTCCCTCTGGATTGGTTTCTGTTGGGATCCTTTCATTTGCATGATGGTTTAAGGCTCCTGATTTGCCCTTTACAGTTCTGTCCAGGCTGGCTCATTCAGCTTGGGAGGGTGGTGCACTTTGCTTAGGTATAATACGGTATGTTGAGTACCGTATTTCTTATAACTACCCTTTTAAGCCCTTTTACAAACAATAACTAAACTAACAGTACATGCTTAACAATTACCAATTAACAATTAACAATTAACTATTAACAACTAACAATTAACTATTTTACAACAGTTTCTAGCCTATTTTTGACACTGGCGTGGCGGGGGCACTGAGGGGTGTCCTGGCAGGCCGGGGGCACTGAGGGATGTCCTGGCGTGGTGGGGGAGCTGAAGGGTGTCCGGCATGGCGGGGGCGCTGAGGGATGTGCGGCGTGGTGGGGCAGCTGAGAGGTGTCCTGGCGTGGTGAGCGAGCTGAGGGATGTCCTGGCGTGGTGAGGGAGCTGAAGGGTGTCCTGGCAGGCCGGGGGCACTGAAGGAATGTCCTGGCGTGGTGAGGGCACTGAGGTGTGTTCAGCATGGCAGGGGCACTGAGGGATGTCCCAGCATGGCAGGGGAGCTGAGGGGTGTCTGGCATGGCGGGGGCCCTGAGGGGTGTCCTGGCAGGCCGGGGGACACTGAGAGTTGTCCTGACATGACGGGGGCGCTGAGGGATGTCCAATATGGCAGGGGCACTGAGGGCTGTCCTGGCATGGCAGAGGCATTGAGGGATGTCCTGGCATGGCAAGGGCGCTGAGAGATGTCCTGGCATGGAGGAGGCCCTGAGAGGTGTCCCGGCATGGCGGGGGAGCTGAGGGATGTCCTGGCATGGAGGAGGCGCTGAGGGGTATCCCGGCCGGCTGGGGGCGCTGAGGGGTGTCCCGAGGTCAGGGGACTGTCAGAGCTGGAAGAGACCTTCAGGATGATCCAGCACTGCCGCTGTAATTCCGAACCCACCACACCGCAGCACCCCGAGCCACAGCCCGGCGCCTCCTCAGCTCCTGCACTGCCACTGCCCTCTGTGGGCAGCTCTGCCGCCCATGTGGCACAATGCGGAATACCTAAAAGTTTCTGAAGAAGGGGTGTTCTTTGATCATGGAATCATAACATATCCTGAGTCGGAAGGGAGCCACAAGGAGCCCCGTCCCCACCGCGCATGGCATCAGGGACCACAGAGTGCAGCCCCGGGTACCAGTGCTGGGGCATCAGTGGGGACAGGTTGGCACAGGAATGGAAAGGATTTAGGTTAATGACTTATCTTATGGAGCTAGCCTGGCACAGCTGGGGCTGTTCAGCTGCACAAGAGAAGCTCCAGGGACACCTCAGAGCCCCTGCCAGGGCCTGCAGGGGCTCCAGGAGAGCTGCACAGCCCCTGGGGACAAGGCAGGCAGGGACAGCAGCCAGGCAATGGCTCCCACTGCCAGAGGGCAGGCACAGATTTTGGCACATTGGGAATTAGGAATTGCTGGCTGGGAGGGTGGGCAGGCCCTGGCCCAGGGTGCCCAGAGCAGCTGTGGCTGCCCCTGGATCCCTGGCAGTGCCCCAGGCCAGGCTGGATGGGGCTGGGAGCAGCCTGGGACAGTGGGAGCTGTCCCTGCCCATGGCAGGGCCTGGAACAGGATAGGCTTTAAGGTCTTTCCCAACCCAAACCCTTCTGTGACTCTGTGAAATAGATCTAATGACAAGAATGGGTTCTCTGTGCCCACAGGTGATGGAGCGGAGCGAACCCACAGCTCCCAGGTCAGGACTGTCACAGAGACCTCCTGCAGCACATCCTGCTGATGCCAGGCTCCAGACTTGCCTGGGCTGGAGGAAAATGGGAAGTAAAACATTGGCTGTGCATCAGTGATTGCTTCAAGCTCATTGCCCGCAAAGGAGTTGTGGGAAAAAGCTGTTGCTGAAGCTTTGAAGCTCTGGAACACACACACATACACTGCCAAGAACTTTGCTTTCTTGTGCATAATCACATTAGCTTGGCTGATAGCAAGTTGAAAAAAATTATCCCAGGGAAGAAAGGTCAATGTTTAACCTGGCTGTAAAGCTTGTTCTCATCCAATTTAAACCCCGTGCAATTACTTCTGGTGTCAACAATGTGATCCTTGCACAGTCAAATACAGCAGTTTTGATACACAGGGTTTACAAACTGGAAAATATGTTTACCACCATGGTAGTGCTTGAAATGGAATCTTTTGAGTTTATTTCAGTAGAGACTTAATGCTGTCATACTATCATGACTTAGTCTTTGAGATATTTGTCAAAGAGAAACAACTTCACATCACTTTCCCCCTGAAAACTTGTATTTGAGTGGAGGGTGGGCTGAATTTTTTGGTATTTTATAGTTTTGCCTCATGTTCTATGGTGTGTTTAATGGGGAATGTTGCCTTAGTCTTAAGATCTACACAAAACCAGCAATCAGTTTTATGTGTAATAGACTGTACAAATGTGCAGCACTGCCATCTGTTTGACATCCAAAAATAAACAGGGATGTGTGGATACTCTAAAGTCCCCATTCTTCTGTGAAGTCCTTCCACCAGCTCTGAGAACATTTCCTCCTGAAAGCTGGGTTTATTCTGAAGTCATGGCAGATGCCTTGTGACTTTATTTTACATTAATGTTTGATGAAAAAACAGATTCTTCTTAACTTAGGTGCCTGAGAGGACCCTGGTCACTGGCTTTCCTCACTGGGAATGTATATGGGATATAGGATATACACAGGATATGGTCTGTTCTGGATTGGCTGGATTGAATTCTCCTTCCTGAAACCTCTCTCAAAGGAATGGCCCATAAACTTCATATATTCACAGAACCACAGAATCCCAGGGTGGTTTGGGTGTGAAGGGACCTTAAAGCCTGTCCCATTCCACCCCTGCCATGGGCAGGGACACCTCCCGCTATCCAGAGTGCTCCAAGCCCCGTTGGCAGGAGGGAAGGGCTGGGAAGGCATGGAAGAAGGACAGCATGTGCTGACAGATGGAGCAACTCAGCAAACCAGAGCCCATTTTCAGGGGCAAAATCTGCAGTGGGAAAATCTAGCAAGGACAGTAGGGCCTTTCTGTCCTTCAAGGAAGTATGAGAAACTGATTGGTATCAGCTGACTGACAATTCCCTCTTTGTACAAAAGAAACTTTCAGCTTCTTCCTCTAGAAGGAAAATTAACTCTGTTTAAGGGAACCAAAGTCCTCCCCACCCCTCATAAAAGACAAGTTTCCCTACAATGGCTGCCTATTCTCTTTGTCTGGGGTTGTGGTGGCTACATGAGCCAGTGCTGGGGCACGCCAGCCCCCTTCCCTCTGCAGGATCAATGTCCTTCTGTCCTGCAGATGCCCCTGGCTTTCCAGACTGGGGCTTTCAGAATTTGCCAGTTCCTCTGTGGTTATGAATCCCCCTGAGGTTTCCTCACTCGTCACACTCCATAGCATCTCTGGTTCCTCCAGCCAGGCTTTCTTGTGATTCTTCCTCCAGGCAATCTTCAAAGTACTTGCTTAGGGAATCCATTACTCTTGGCTTTTTTTGTCTTATGGGTACATTTGTTCTGAGTGGGGTTTTGGGGGTTTTTTTGGTTTTTTGGGTTTTTTTGTGAAGGATTTCCTGTTTGCTCAGATCCACATGACTGGCTGAGTCAGGAACAGGAGAGTCACATAAATATAAAAGTGTGTCACAGTGACATGCTTTGCATCAGTAGCAAAGCTCAGAACTTCTACTAATGTATTTTAAAAATGTAAGTTAAATATAAATCTTTCCCTTACGTTGCTGGTCACAGGCAGTGCCTGCCAGCTGGCACCACGTGTCATGGTGCAGAGCCACACAGGCCTGGCTGTGGCAGGAATCACAGAGCCCTGGAATGGCTGGGGCTGGAAGGGACCTTAAAGCCCCTCCAGTGCCACCCCCTGCCGTGGGCAGGGACAGCTCCCACTGTCCCAGGCTGCTCCCAGCCCCATCCAGCCTGGCCTGGGGCACTGCCAGGGATCCAGGGGCAGCCACAGCTGCTCTGGGCAACCTGGGCCAGGGCCTGCCCACCCTGCCAGCCAGCAATTCCTAATTCCCAATGTGCCAAAATCTGTCCCTGTCCGCTGGCAGTGGGAGCCATTGCCTGGGTGCTGTCCCTGCCTGCCTTGTCCCCAGGGGCTGTGCAGCTCTCCTGGAGCCCCTGCAGGCCCTGGCAGGGGCTCTGAGGTGTCCCTGGAGCTTCTCTGGTGCAGCTGAGCAGCCCCAGCTGTGCCAGGCTGGCTCCAGAGCAGAGGGGCTCCAAACCTTGGATGCATCATGGCCTCCTCTGGGCTCATTCCACATTCTCCTCATGTTGGAGGTCCCAGAGCTGGACACAGGACTCCAGGTCAGAGTCTCACCAGAGGGAAGTAGAAGGCGGCCCTGGGGGATCTCTGCCCCACCACTGAGTGCAGCTGCCCCCCTGCCACAAGATGTGGGACTGATTATTGCAACAACCCACAGCTGGAGAAGCAGGAGGAAAGGAAAATGGCAAAGATGGGAGAAACAAAGAGCAGCTCTCTCTTAGGTCAGGGGAGAGAGCAAGCTGCCACAAGTTTGCTAGGAGAGATGAAGGCTTGTATATCCAGGGATGATTAACCCAAAATTAGCATGGCAGCATGGAGATGGGGATTGATGGGTTGACATGTAGAATGGTCACCACTTAACAGAATCT